TTTTGATTCCGTTTTTCTTCAACAAAACAAAAAGTAATTTTTTGAGCTAATAACTATTAACTTAGTAGTCGTTGAATAAAGTAATTACACAATGACACTTACAAAAAATATTGCTTGTATCGTTCGTCCAATTTTATTATTTTATCCATTTTTTGTTTGTTGTTTTGGTAACCTAGAATACATATTCTGAAGTTTCGGATGGTTTTTATATTCCAGTTGTTTGCTATTAAATATATGTGTAGAAATTGGCAATTGCTGGAAAAATAGATGAATCTATATATTTTTTATGATTGGTTTCTGTCATGATCCAAAAAGGACGTTATGACATTTGCCTGTAAAGCTCACGTCAACAAATTTTCTGCTTTGGAAGACACAATTTCTTCCAATGATTTGTGATTGTGGTCTTAATCATTATATTGATGGTAGCGAACCAGTACCACCGCGCGTTTCGGATGGTGATCAACCAAATTCTGCATATAAGGTTTGGGTGCGTCAAGATCAACTCGTCTTGAGTTGGATAGTTGCTTTAGTTTCAGAAAGCATTCTCCCTCAATTGGTTGGAGCAGAAACAACTCGTGTAGCTTGGGAAAAAACTGTGGCAGCCTATGCCACTGGGTCTAAACAACTGATTCGAGAACTTAAAGCGCAATTACACAACTTGTGTCGTGATAATGCTACTATTGAATGTTACGTGCAAGGGGCAAAAGCGATTGCTGATAAGTTAGCTGCCTTGAAGCACCCAGTCACTAATGATGACTTGGTGGAGTTTGTTCTTGCTGGATTAGGCCCTGCCTATCGCCCCTTCACAAGGTCGTTTGAATCACATCATGAGGATGTTACCTTTGATGCACTTTATGGTATGTTGTTGAATGAAGAAAGACAATTAAAACGTGAAGATGCTAGTAATGTTATTTCCCCAATAGCACAATACACACAAAGTTCAATCTCTACACAGTGTGGACGCGGTAGGGGGAGTACTAGTCGAGGTCGTGGACGCTTTTCTAGCCATGGAAGTTCACCACAATCTCAAAGTCGGCATTATGCCCCCACAACTCATTCAGGAACTTACTCTGGAAATCCACAACCTTCCTCTGATTTTTCTGGAATTGTTTGCCATAATTGTGAAGGAAAGGGTCACAATGAACGTGTTTTTTCGTCACCTAGGACTACCAATGGAAATCAGGTATCTGGATGTCCCTCTTCAAATCTAGCAAGTACTTCTTCCCAAGCGGCACAAAATTGGTTGATGGATAGTGGCACCACGCATCATCTGGCTTCTGATCTCGACAACCTTGCAATTCACTCAGCATATCATGGTCCCGAAGAAGTTACCCTAGGTAATGGTTCCAAATTTCCCATCTCGCATATTGGTAAAGAATCTCTATTTATTTCCGATAAGTCGTATGTTCTTGATAGTCTTCTTCATGTTCCCATTACTACCCAAAATTTACTATCTATCAGTTCTTTTACTAATTCTAGCCAAGGCGTCCATTGAATTTTTTCCTAACTATTTTTTTATTAAGGACTTGGAAACGAGGGCAGCTCTTCACAAAGGACCGAATAATGGAGGTTTATATTCCCTTCCGATATTGAAGTCAATTTCTTCACCAGCTTCATATGCAGCTTCACTTGGTGTTTGGCATGCGCGTTTGGCTCACACATCTTATCCTACCGTTCGTCGGACTTGCCATCTAATACTTTTATTTCATCTAGTTGTGGGTCTTCTAGTTTGTGTCCAACTTGTGCTATTAGCAAGAGTCACAAAATTCCATTTGTTGAGTCTAGTTTTCAAGCGACAGGCCCTTTAGATTTAGTTATTTCTTAAATTCAAGTCTGAGGTTCTTTCTGTTTTTATTCAATTTCGAAAAATTGTGGAAAATATACTTTAGTCGTCCAATTAAGAGCTTTCAAGTAGATTGGGGAGGAGAGTATCAGGCATTAACATCATATTTAAGAGACAATGGTATTACACAACGTTCTTCTTGTCCTTATACCCCGGAACAAAATGGTTGTGTTGAACGTAAACATCGAAATATTGTTGAGACGGGTCGTGCCTTATTAACGCATGCAAGTGTTCTTGGACAAATGCTTTTGATACTGCTGTTTATATCATAAATAGATTACCGACTCCCCGTCTAAATAATCAGCCTCCCTTTCGCATCTTTTTAAATTATGACCCTGATTACTCTTTGTTGCGCGTGTTTGGTTGTCTTTGCTTTCCATGGCTTCGCCCTTATACGGAAGATAAATTATCTCTTCGTTCTAAGAGGTGTGTGTTTTTGGGATATAGCAAAATTCATAAAGGTTATAAGTGTTTTGATCCTACTTCTTCTAACTTTTTTGTCTCACGTCATGTTGTTTTTGACGAAACAATTTTTCCCTTTGCTACTCAGGATGACGCTATGGTGCCTACTATATTAACCAATGATGCCCCGCTTACTGTCCAGATACCTTCTCCACTTCCACAACCACAATTGTGCCTATTTATTCCTTATTGCACTCGTCTGGTTCTCTCCTACTACAGTCAGTGCAACCTTATTGGATAATTTATTCTCCACTTTTACATCGCAATGATCTATGCAACCTCAGTACCCACTACAATCACATGTTATGCCTGCACCTACTCCTTCTCTATCTTTGGATATTCCGTCAAATACATTGCCTAATGAAGGTGGAAATCAAGTGGTTGATTTTGAACGATCTGGTCCTTTAAGCGACGTGACTCATCCAAACAAATTGTCATGCTCTTCATCTAAGTCTCATCCGATGACTACTCGATCACAAACAGGTTCACTAAAACCAAAGCGTCCCACCTCTTACTTAGCTATGTCAACTAATGTTGTTGAGCCTTCTTGTTACTCTCAAGCTACGAAGTACGCACATTGGCGTAGGCCGATGTAAGAGGAACACAATGCTTTCTTACAAAATGGGACTTGGCAGTTAGTACCACCTTTTCCGTCTCAAAATATTATTGGGAGTAAATGGATTTTTAAAACAAAGGTTAAGCCTGATGGGTCCATTGATCATTACAAGGCTCGACTCATTGCTAAAGGGTATCATCAAATACCGGGTGTGGACTATGTTGATACCTTTAGTCCAGTCGTGAAACCTTTGACCATTCGCCTTCTTCTTTCCTTGGCAGCCTTGAATAACTGGCATATTACTCAATTGGATATCTCTAATGCTTTTCTTCACGGTACCCTCGATGAAGTGGTCTACATGTCTCAACCTCCTAGATTTGTTGATACAGATCGTCCTAAGCATGTTTGCTTGCTCAAGCGTTCTCTTTATGGACTCAAACAAGCTCCGCGAATATGGAATAAATGTTTAACAAACGCCTTGATCTCTTATGGCTTTACGGGATAAAAAACAGATTGTTCATTATTTCATTTCTCCTCCAATGGTGATACAATATTTTGTTTGGTGTATGTTGATAACCTTCTTGTTTTGGGCTCTAGTTCCTCTCTTGTTGGCTCTGCTATTACTCGCCTAAAGTCACAGTTTGTTGTGCGAGACCTTGGTCGCCTCTCTTATTTTTTGGGGATTGAAGCATCATGGACACCTACTGGTTTGCATCTTTCTCAACATCGTTATGCTACTGATTTGTTGCGGAAACCACAAATGGATGGTTGCAATAATATTTCAACACCTGCTGCATCTTCCTTTAAACTCTCAAGTTTTGAAGGATCTCTTTTTCATGACGAAACCTTGTATCGCAGCACTGTAGGGGTGAAAAAATAAAAAACTGAATTTGAAAATATTTTTCAAAAACGAACTTAATTTTTTTTTGCGGGTGGGGGTGAGGGGCTGGTAGGGGGCTGTCGGGGGAGGGGGGGGGTCGAGGGTAGAGGTGAATTTTTTTTTTTAAAGTAGAAAATATTTTTTTAAAAACAAACTTAAATATTTTTTGGAGGAGGGTGGGGGGCTGATAGGGGGCTGACGGTAAGGGGTGGGGTGGGAGTACAAAAATAAAAAATTGAAATTGGAAATATTTTTCAAAAATAATTTTTAATTTTTTTTTTTGGGCGGGGGGGGGGGGGGGGGGGGAGGTGGTAGGGGGTTGGGGGTAGAAGCTTTAATTTTATTTTATTTTTGGGTGGTTTTGGGGGAGGGGCTGGTTTGAGGGTAGGGACAAAATAAATTGATTTTTTCAACAAAAAAAAATTTGTAATTTGAAGTTGGAATAGAGTTTTAGAAAATTTTTTCCTTAATTTTTGAAGGGAAGTCATTTTCCTTAAATTTGAGGAAAATGAGTTGATTTTCCGTAATCATTTTCCATCGGTTTTATATCACTCACACCAACAATGACCTCGGCATCATAAACACTTGCCGAAAATGACCTCGACATCAAACCATCACATGTTTGGTCATGGTGTTCAACAATTAATACACACAACCAATATCTCACACCACATGAAAGAGACAACAATTCATGCAATTCAAGTCTACATTCATGCAATCAATAAGAATCACAACAAGGCAGTTCGCATCATCATGTTCATCACATAACCTTTTCATTTCAATAGGGAGCTATCCTGCCGAGATGTTAATACCTTCAATGGCAGTATGTGACGTGGCCTTCCACATGCAGGTAATATCACTTGTAGCATATGTAGACCAAATGTATGAGGTAGATTTGAGCTTGAATTACAAAATATGGTGCAACAACTACACACAAACGAAAAGTTCACATGTCTACAACGTAAAGATCCGCAATAACATATATATTCAGAGATTTGGAAGTGACACACACATACCCGCAGAGAGTCTCACACTATTCTTGTTTTCTCTTCTACTACTTTTAGAGTTTTTAGTCAAAATTATCTTGTATCTTATATTTCTACAAAAATATTTTTAATTTTACTAATCAAGCTCGATCAATTTATTTAAATATAAGAAAATATTTCCAGAAACCAATTGAGCTCGATCATTTTTTTTTCTTATATTTTCCCAAAACTCAACTGATTGGTTTTAACTTAAAATAATATTGGGAAAGGTCATCTTGGAAATCAGAACAGAAATACAATAATTACAAAATTCCGATTCTTACAACATAAAGAAACAATATGCATAGCAATGACTTATTTTACAACATAAAAGAGACTATACATAGGTAGATCCCCTCCACATAGAAAAACCGTGAGGAAATTCCATCTTTTGATCACCCATTTTTTGAAAATCGTTTCTCGGGGCTTCCACCTCACACACGGTGATACTGTGTTTCCTAGATTTTCGTATATCTACCCTAAAATGTTTGCAGAGCATAAAAAACAACTTGAAAGCACCTACAAAAATAAAATGTGTTCCCTCGGCTTCTGGAGCATTACACTTCAATGGCTGCTCGATTGTACCTCATTTCTCCGATTCCTTAATGATTTCTGCCCAGCTGGTTGCTTTGTCGAATACCCTACTAACATTAACCGGGACATTACGTATGTGAGTAGTTCTTCACGATGAGAAAATGTAAAATCCAAATGTGCGTACTCAAACTCATTATATGATACATCTACACCTGCATCAGTCATCAGGTCATAATGCTTCCTAACCATGGACGGCCTGATTACGTTGTCCTTCTGCCCAGCAACAAGGTCAACAGGAATATCAATTAAGAGATAGTACTCCCCCAAATCCAAGGGCTGTGGAGATCCATAGACTTCCATGTTTGAAGCAGCACTCCCGTAGTCAAACATGATAAATTTACGGCTGCGTTTGATCTGTGCCATGTGAAGTGCCACACAAAATGAAACAGCTGGCATATCATTCATATTGTAATGTGATAACCCCAAAGCTCCGACCCAATTTGAACTGTCTCCACCAAGCACATAACTTATCAGGGTTTGCACAAGGCCTCCAACTCCAGGTAAGTTATGGAAGTCCCGTGCCAACTTATTGACCAGCATGCGGAAAAAACGAGTGGGTATATAGAAAGCTGGCACAAAGGGCATCAGTAAAGGAGATAACACTAGGAATACGTACTCCATCACCGTGAATACAATATTTGAATCATGATGGAAGCCAGCAGGTGATAACAAGATTAATCTTGAAAGCCTATGGGGTTTTTCCTCAATTCGCTGGGTTATGACATACATCAGAATAGCAGCTCCACCCAAACTATGGGAAATAGCACAGAGCTTGTATGGTTGATCACTCTCACACTCTTCCTCAAAACCCGCTTGGCTATTTTTCAATTCAGAAACTTTTATTTCATGGATCTTCTGTATGATCGCAGGTATATCTTGTGTCCCGTGCTCATTTATGGAGTACCTCCAGTATCTACATGCACGTGCCACATACAGAAAGTACAAGTAAGTTGAGAGAAATCTAGCAATGGTAGATATATAGAAAACCAATACCATTCCAAGAAAGAGAATATGGATAAAGGTACTTCTGACATGAATGAGAGCTGCATGAAGTCATGCACTTACTGTCGTGGGGATATATTGCTGTCAACATGTTCTCTCGAAACCAGTCCACGAAAATTTCCAAGGAAAACATCATACCCTGGACAATAAAGAGAAATAAGTCACTTAATTATCCCGGTAAGGAAAACAATCATAGTATATTGCACCTAGAGACATTGGCTAAGAAATCCAAACGACAAACCTTGATCATAGGCTGCAAATGCAGGAGAACCAACAACTCCATTCGATATCCAACTGTAAAGTCAGGTCACTGTGTAAGATGTAAGATGAACTAAATGTCTATGTAGTTGACAATTGTAACTGATCAAACTACAATCTTAGAAACAAAGGAGAAAGAGATATCTAAGAACTGAAAGATTAGCATGTCTTAAAACAATCAAATACATGCATTGACAAAGAGATCCACTGGTCAGTTCTCTAGTGATTTCGATGATATACTTTCAGTAAGATACATGGTTCATGATCCACAAAATCAAAGGGATAATAATTCTTGATCTTATGCTCAGACAAATGATCTTCTTTGGCTACAGATAAACAACTCACCTTCCAAGGGCTGATGTAGAATATACACCATCTTAAAAAGTATAAATTGGGTCACTTTGATTAAGCAGAAGCCAGGTCAGTCACAACAGAAAAAGTATCTTGCTGTCGAGACTGTTCAACTTTTGACAGTACAAAATTAAATTGAAGTGAAGTACTGAATCCAGGTGGACATTCATTCATAATCTCAGTCCACTATCCCAGCTGAATTAATAGGCACATAATGCATAGCAAGGTTTAATCCCTCACAGATGCCCATGCCAGCCAAATTTTTAAATAAAATATTAAAAGAAATGAAAAAGAAAATGAGAAGCCATGTCTCTTCTAATTGTTGCTTATAATATACACAACCCAGATCCAATAATATATCACTTCATAAATTTTTAAATGCCAATTGATTAGTATGCCTTCCAAACATCATTTAGTTATACTAATACTAGTTATAAACCTGAAGAACCAGAAAGGACAACTTAACAATCTGTCGACAAGATAAATATCACTGGTCATTTTAACCCCAACTTAAACGATGAGTAAATTATATACACACAGAGGAAAATGTGACATGAAGAATGAACAAAGATGTGTAAAGATGTGTGGCTCACCCCATGGATGAATCAAAAACCCCATGTTGCAGATAAACAACTTTCCGAGCATCACGTCTGCAATATCAAATTTGGATCATCAAATCACATTCATAAACGGGCATCCACCAAAAAGCTCTGTATATAAAGAGACAGCGATGTCAAAACAGGAATCCAAACCTTGGAATTCTCTCCAAAAGGAGAATATATCCATCGTTAGTTACCACACGAAGAGCTTCATATGGGTACCTACAACAGAAAGCACTTATATGCTGAGAACAATAGGAATGCCAAACTCTGTGTAAAAATATCAATATAGTTATGAATACAAGAGTTCCTGCGGAAAGTCCATGTTTCAAGTCTGGAGAGAATAATATAATACCCCTAAACCACAAAGACTTCCCTATCTGCTAAAGCAAAGAAGAATTGAAAGAGGACAGTACGAAAAAAATACCTGGTCTACCAGTAAACAACGGCCACTTCACTAAGGAGAAGAAAAATCAAAAGGTTGCAATAAAAAACTCCTATTTACAACTGAACAATGACTCCTAAGGCAGAAAGAGATTAAAAGAGGACGGTTGATCATCACAGAGATCTGAAAATTTTGCAAGACATGAGTATCTACCAATGAACAGTTGACAGAAATTCTTCCTTTTTCCACAGTTGATCAATTTTGACAGTCTACCAAAAGCTTAACCAGTTGAAATTATAGTGTACTCTAGGCTCAATGCAGTGAGTAGAAAAACACAAATGCAATTGGAATACAAATGAGATGCTAGTCCTTTTCAACACCATATAAACTCCAAATAACTTCATGAAATTATCATCACAGTTCATTTGACAAATTCGAGTCTTCTAAGGAAAAAAGTAATATTTATTTGAACATGTTATCTGTTCAGAAACATCTCAATCCAAGGGAACATGCATGTCAGTTTTGGCAAAGGAGTGGAATCAAATCAAAGTGCCTTACCCAAGCTCTGTTATGACATCTTGACACGTCCTAGCATCTGTATTTAGGGAATGATAAAAGCTTGTTTGTCGTTCCCTAGGCGTAGGGTCATTCTCTGAAAGAGTATCTGTAGGTACAGATACACCTGAACCATCAGCTGGAACATCCTCAGGACCACTCATACAAGAAAAGAACCATTTCACCACTTCCGTAAAAGTGACTATCGGTGAAAGAAGACAATGTGCTGCCTTGTGGACGAATCCAAAGACAGTCTCAATAATAATCTCAATTGCTAGATGGAGATCCTACACAAGATAAATCAGACGAAGTCATTTTAATAAAACCAGTAATGGCCGAATGGGAGTGCGAAATAACAGTAAAACAATTACTTAAATGACCAACTGTAAAACCAAAAAAGAAAAAACCTCACAATGAATCGTCCTCTTGCCCCAAACCAAAAAGATGAGTAGAATAAATGTAATATGTAAACGGAACACCCAAACACATTCATCAAAAAAAGAGAAATGGATCTGGAAAGGCATAAATTATATGTATGATTCATGAAAGTTAAGCCCACTGCCACTAGTTTGGAATTGAGGACACTATAGAAGGAGAAAACTGAATATGTCACACCTCAACTACGCCTCGCCTTCTGTCAGTGGCACGTTGGACAAAGTGGTCCTTGAGTGACTGTAATCTCTTGGTAGCTCGTAGAGGGGAAGACTGGAGACTCCCAGACATAGTACGTGAACCATAGAGATACAACGGTATTCCCAACATAAATTTAATGGGGAAAATGAACCATGAGAAGATGTATCTGAGCAAATGTACCCAATTACCGCTCTGCCTTGTAAAACTGCTCACTCTGGATGCACGAGAACTTTGTAACAGAGGAGACATTGGACCGATGTTTTCATCAACATCTTCCTGTGATGAGTATTCTACACTTGATGAGGCATTGGGTTCAACAGAAAGCTCATGAATGAATTGGTTAAAGGATGAGACACCACTGTGATCACCAGGAAGAAGCATGTTAACAAAATGTGCCGTTATTGAAAAAACTAGAAAAGATACGTGAAATGTTTTGACATTTTTGACATAATTGAAAAAAGAGGTGACAGAAGAAACACAGTTGTCAATGCATAACCAGAGAAGTAGGAAATTATCTGAATTTTAGAGCATGGGTTAAGAGGAAATGAAGATTGAAACTCACTCTTCCATCCAGCGTGGAAGCCTAGGCCCACGAAATGCTGGCCGAAGCTCCCAACCATGGATACCTTCAAGAATAGAAGAGTTCCCTGGTAATATTGTCAATAATAGTGCGGACATCCCATTTATCAACCTCACAACATTGTTCAATGACTCATAAGTGAATGTTTTAACTGACCTGAGAGAATGAACAAAGAGATATTAACATATGATAATGGATCCATCCCAACAGTTGCTTAAGGAAAGTTAGCAGACAAAAATACACACACAAAACAACATGTGTTAACTGCAAGGATTTCATGTAAGCATTCTGAAAAAGTTACTATCCCTTTTTCAGAAAGTAAACAACTACTCTGACACCCTCAAGAGAAATAATTTCATTTACAAACAACTTCTTTGCGCAATTTCTCATTTATCCCCTGAAAGGAAAATATAAAATTGATGATGATAGCCGAGGTATCCACTTCGAAAGTATATCTGCATTGGTCGAGTTTTCATGATCTTGCCTCTTACTGTACTTTCACCATTAGTTTTGTCACTTAAATTGCATCAAGAACTAAATATAACCAGCTCAAAGGCTTGTTTCCCATACCGTAACATTTATCCCTGGTCACTTCTAGATGGAGCCAGTTATTTCCTAATCAGCACGAACAAATAGATTACTCAGATCAACTTACAAATACACTACTCATATACAACTTTTTTCCTAACAGGTGAGGAAGTAAGACTATATCCAAACTCATGGTTTCATATCTTAAATATGTGACCTAAAATGTTGACAGCAAAACTTCAGCTGTGTCAGCCTTGAGTACACAGAAAATGTCTTCTCTTTTGATATAGCGAATAACAGTGTCTCCCATAGTCTATGTTGCTCGAACTCTCCAATATTGTTGCCGCATCCATGTCGGATCCTCCAAGAATGCACTACTTTTGAAGGATCCAATATGCACCCATAGACATTTTTGAAGAGTCCGAACAATGTAGCCCATAGTTCCAACTTTTCTCTAAATATATAGTAATGGTAATTGTAGCGTCCGTGATTAACCTAGTTTTCTCAATTATGCTACCGGGTAACGTATTAAAGACAAATACACGTCCTCCGAGTTCACATAGAAGACCATCATTGTCAACTGATATAAAGGGCTCTTCTTTCACCATATAAAGGATCCAATGCTAATTATCTCCCTTATTATAACAGTCTGGCACTCTCTATAAATGCATCATCTTCAACATGTCTCTCTGTATGCATATACACTTAAACTCCTCTCTCATTGGTTAGACATCAGAGACTTCACTCTTATTTATTCTTAAATTATTCTCAGAGCACTTCATGGTGAATTGAGTTAATTACAATTCTACTTCTTATATACTAGTAAAGTGTTCTGGGCTAAAATCATCCCTGAAGTTAACCCAAACTTAGGTACATCCTTATACTATAATTATGAACAAAAAAAAACATCCTTTAACAATCCCAAAATTTGCAATAAACATTCTTCTCTTAACTTTTATTACAAAAAATCTTGGAATAGTTAAAGGATTTTTTTGTTCACAATTGTATCATAAGGATATACCGTAAGTTTGGGTTATACTTCAGGGATATTTTAGCTCAAAACTCTACTACTAAAACTAGTCCACCCCCACCCCCTTTTATTTTTGGTGCATAAACTCTCTATAAGCCCATCACTTGATCATAATTCTTCTAGTAAGCTGTTGTTCCTAAGCTTAGCATCTTAAATCTCAATTTCTTTCACATTATGTTACAAGACATCAAAACTTAAGAGGAATTCTCCACTAAGTTCTATTCATACACACAATCAATTCAGCAGTTGACCTAATACTGCAAAAAAATCACAAATTAACTGCCCAAACAACCAAAAAAAGTAAAGTAAAAAGATGATGAATATACTTTTGAGACATGAACTTGCAGCTTGAATGGGCAATCAATATAGGAGCTAAATTTACAAGAAGAAGAGATGAATAAACATACTCTTTGGTTACAGCAAGGACATGGTCAACGAGCCGTTGCATTGGTTGCGACGATTTAGGTTTCGAATCAAAACCTTCTCAAATGCAAGAGAGAGAAAGAGAATGGAGAAAGTCGGTTTCTTTTATGCAAACACACACAGTGCAACTGCAACGTGCCAATTCCTTGTCTTACACTTCTATCACTTTCCAGGTGCTGCTCCACGTGTGTCTTTATTATTCGTTTGAGATACGCAAATATAGCCTATGGTTTGGACTCAATATATGTTTTAGTTAATTTAATTTAGAAAAAAAATTACAAACATGTATTAATAAATTACTTAACATAGTTTTAGTTGCAACTAATTATAATTCACTATTAATGTTTCATTTCAATGTGTTTGACCGTCTTGTGTAGTCGGTGGCAAATTCAGATTTTTGTTCAAAAAATTAAAGCATAAAAGTGTGAATAAATCAACAAAACATAATTTCAAGAAAGTAGTAGTATATAAATTATCGGTACAAAAAGTTTATTTCATTACACGAGACCTAAAACTAACATGAGTGATTACATTAAAAAGAAAATGTTACCCCTTTGCAATGTGTCAATCTAGAACTAGAATGCTTAACTAGAGCGAAAAATGATGTCAAGTAGAAAAAAAAATTAGCCGTTCACAATGTCTCACTCCAAAATGAGAGTGCTTATTACAAACTCCAAAAAGAGATCACTTCTAATACTTCTCAAGCACGTTTACAATACCATTCAGCGATGTTTCATTGCTTGAAAAGACAAAATAATATCATCAGTTAAAACATCATTACATACATCATTTTTTTATAAAAGGAGCCATGCAACCGCTCAAGAATTCATTATTCATTCGACTTCGTAATTCATTCTTGATAAATTTTATTGCTGAAAAAGCTCTTTCAATGGATGTAGTGGCAACTGGCAGAAGTACAACAAATTTCACCATATCACAAAGTTCAGGTAAATTATAGAACCTTTTATCGATATCATGAACATCTGTGGAAGTTAGCGTCTTAAAGAAAGTAAGTGCTTGCTGCTCCTGCTCTTATAGTTAGATAACGCACTAAAAGCATACCTTATCCCAGGGGCATGAGTACACTGCTTTCGCACTCGAACTCTCCTACTGTGTTTTCACACTCGAACGTGATCGAAGAAAGACTACATCAGTTATTTTTGCGAATTTTATTCATCAGAACTGCATCGCCGTAAGCCTCAGCCTTTACTCTAACATATTCATCCACTATATGTCTGACAGGTTGATTTACCCCACCCGCTCTTAACGTGATAGCTTCGTTATTTGCAAGTTTATTCTCAAGTGCACACATACTAAGTTCATCAAAATCATTAGAATATAATGCAATCATTCTCATTCTTTTTTGGATATCAAAACTTGAAAATGATTCTATCAAATTCAAACGAGCAACTCCATAAAGTAACTCAATTGTCACCTCATCAAAACGATCATTTAGTTGTTACACTTACCAATCAATTATTTTACAAAATACTTCAACATGATAATGATGAAAATCAGTATAATCAGCAGGTTCACACTGTGATCTTTAAGAATTAACATACAACTCATCAAAATTAGATATCATAATGTTATACTTAATACAAAATGTAGACACCTCAGTGACAAATAAATTTCATCTTTTATTTTTTTTCTCAAGTCTTGCAACCTTCTCTTGACCTCTTTAATAAGTAGCATTGCATTTGTAATGTCTTGCTATTTGTTTTTATTTTACTAAGATCATTTGTAATTCCTAAAATTTATTTCATCAAATGCAATATGAATACAATCTCCTATGTTTGAACAACTCAGATATATTTGATTGCCCTAGATCTTTCATCCAAGAATATACAGTTTCAACAGTGTTATCAAATATGACCATAATTGTACCTAAGTTGTGAATAAAACAATTAACTGAAGTAGATTCTCAACGATTATCAAGCTCTAGAAATATCAAATTCTTGATGCAAGCTTCTACTAATTTTAAGGTCATCCATATCAATAGTCTCTTGAATTTTCTTTTTTGAGATTCTAAATATTCATCCATAAAAAGGAATCATCAACACATTAAAAATATTTTATATCAACTGTATAAGTTCTCCTACTTGAAGACATTTTTAAAAAATACCGACAAGAGTTAGTTGAAGTTAACGAGCAAAATAATGAATATAATAAGTCGATCTGCTTTCTTTCTTAATCAACATCTTAAGATCATTAATATCACCTTGCATATTAGTTGCTCCATCATAAGATTGTACACACACAAGATAGACTCAAAAATGTTGAGAAAGTAAATCAACAATTACATCTTTTAGAGATTAAGACTAGGATTTTTAACATGAAAAATGTCAAGAAGTCTCTTCATCACAAATCCTCTTCTATCAACATATAGTAAAAACAACCTTGATTTGCCCCTTGCGTGAAACATCAAAAGATTCATCAACCAATAAGGAAAAATAATCACCATTTAGTTCCTTTATGATATATTTAATTGTTTCAATCTTGCAAGTAATCACAATTTCTTTTTGAATCTTTGGACAAGTCATATAATCATTTTGAGGAGCATTTTTCAATACAAAACTATGAATTTCATCACACTTTTGAGCATAAAATGAAAGAATCTCAAAAAAAATTACCTCTATTAAGTGATGATTTGATTCATCATGACCTCAAAATGTTAAGTCTTGTTTTATAAGAAGTTTTACTACATTAATAGAAACTGCTAAGTGAATTCAATTCACATGATTATCTTGATCATATTATTTCTCAAATGAGTGAATAAATTATTGTTACCACATTAGATCTTCATATTTTCGTTTTGACTGATTATGAATGATAGTAAGCCCACCAACATGTGTTTGCAAGCTAGTTTTATTTGTACCAACTCCTAAACTCCATACTCGAAAATGCTTCACCTACACATTAAAGATTATTTTCCTAAAATAAATAAAAATACAAAAAATAAACTGCATCTTTACTTACATACACTATACTCTTAACGAATAAGGAAATTCATCAAATCATTTACTATTAAAATGACGCATATCTCCAGAAATCTCTGTTTGTGATAACTCTCTTAATAAGGTTGACAAGGTTTTTTCTGATGATAAGCTCTTCTAATAGCGTTACAATGATTTGGATGAAATTTTAAAATTTGAATTCTTTCACCTGAATCAGTCTTTAAAGAACTTAAATCATTAACATTTTCTTCCCGATTAAGTTTATTCTGAGCGATAGAACTTGAATTTGATACTTTGAAAAATTACTTTTTTATTGACTCTAAATTTGTATAAGATAGTTGAATCGATAAATGCATTAATGACGATTCTTTACAAATTACAGTATATATTACCACCAAAGTTCAAATGGTTCGTAAATCTAGTTACAACTATCAACGTCAAAAAAAACAATCTAAAAAAATGTCACAATTTAAAAATAATAATAGCCAATATTCAATCCAGAAGGGCAAACTTTAATTTTAAAGAAAATGAAGAAAAGAGCCTACTTTAGAGAAAAGACAAACAATTAACTCTTTAGATTCTAGCTTTGGGTCTCTACTTCAGATAATTAAAGCTACTATAACCTTTAAAATAAAGACCCATTCATTATTTAAAAAACTTGCTGCAAATTAGTTTTAATTTCTTGAAAATTGAAAAAAACAAAAAAAGAAGAAGAGAAAATGATTTTACCTTTTAAACAATAAGCATGTGTTTTGATTTTTCCATTTCAAATTGAATGCGGGAGTCAAGTATAAAAATATCAAGTATGAAACAAATCAACAATAACAAAAATTATGGGAGATGATGTTAATATTTGACTCTTGAGTCTTGAGGAAGAACCAATGGAGTGATTTAAGGATTTAGAAAGATGAAAAGTGATTTAGCCTTTGGGAATGAGACTCTTGAATTTTTTTGGGTTTAAATCTACTATCGCAACAACGTGAAATATTGTTCTTGAAATTAAATGAAGAGAAACTAAAAATATAATGTATGTATGTCTATCTGTCTGTCTATCTATCTATCTATCTATCTATATTAAAAGCATGAACTTCCTAACTTGAATGTTTGAAGAGACACAATAGTTGAGAAACATGTTTAAAGGTAAAAATGAAATAGGGGTAAAAACCCTCATATTACAAAAAACATAAAAATAAATTCTTAAATTCTAAGGGTAAAAACCCTCTTATATATATATATATATATATATATATATATATATATATAAGAGTATTTCTTTTACTTAATTGTTTGAATGATTTTTAAGATGCAGTAGCCAGTGAAGTTTTTTCTTTTCGAATTCTATTTTGCTGGATTTTTTAGCTCCCAAATAATGTCTGACTACATTGCACATAGAAATTGTACAATCATTTTGTCTTTCTAATCTCTATTGCTCTATTCCATAATTGCTCCTCCTTAGGAAGGCGGGGTCTAGATCACTTCATGACTCAAACATGATGTTCCTTTCGTATAGAGTCTCCGGTGTGCATATTTTTGCAAAGATGTTGCATTATTTATTCAAAATTGTCTTGATGGATCTTTGAATATATAATTATGAAGATGTTCTCGTGTTATGCTCAATCCTATTTTGGAATGGAGGGAGTATTTCATAACATGCAAAAATTAACTTTGTTTGGTACATATATTTGCTTTTCTGTAATAATTTACTCTATTTATAATGCAAAAGTTACTATTACTCAAACTTTTTCTATATGATTTTTTTCTCAAAAAAGGAACTTTCGCACATTATCAAGAGATGAATTTGCTTTTAGGTACCACACTACAAATTTTTTGTCGACTACTTACATGAAGACAATGTACCCTGCGAGCTATGAGAGAGAATATATATTATCCCAAGTTTAAGTTTTCTTTGAAAACTTCTTTGGATATTTATAGGTCACAACATCAACTTCATGTAACTTTCTACATAACTTAAGTAGGCCTGTTCAAGAAAATAACTTTATGTAACTTTCCACCAAACTTTCATCCGTTAACTTTTCTAGATAACCTTTTTACATTCCTCACTTCTCTCTTTAATCAATTGTCCACAAGGATGTTTTTGTCTCATTATCCTAGT